CTTTTCAGTATCTATCATGGATGAGAATGGAAGGGCCAAAACCAAATGAATTTGCCTTTGCTAGTTTGCTGAGTGTTTGTGGAAACATGGCTATTCTTGAGCAAGGTAGGCAGCTTCATGCTCATGTCCTCTCAATTGGGTTAGACAAAATAGCGATTGTTCAAAGTGCATTAATTAATATGTACTCAAAATGTGGAAGTATAAAAGAAGCTTCAACAATATTTGATGAGGCTGAGTATGATGATATTGTTTCATGGACAGCCATGATTAATGGGTATGCTGAACATGGTTATAGTCATGAAGCCATTGATTTGTTTGAGAAGCTTCCCAGGGTTGGTCTAAAACCAGACTCTGTGACCTTCATTGGTGTTCTTACTGCTTGTAGTCATGCTGGACTGATTGATCTTGGTTACCACTACTTCAATTCAATGAGTAAAGAGTACCAAATAAATCCTTCGAAGGAACATCATGGTTGTATGATTGACCTGATGTGCCGAGCAGGAAGATTAAATGAAGCAGAGGACATGATAAAACGTATGCCATTTCAAAGGGATGATGTTGTTTGGTCAACACTTCTTAGAGCATGTAGGGTTCATGGTGATGTTGACCGTGCAAGATGCAGTGCAGAAAAGATACTGGAATTAGATCCAAATTGTGCAGGGACCCACATCATCTTGGCTAACATTTATGCCACTAAAGGGAGGTGGGGAGAAGCAGCAGATATTAGGAAGCAGATGAAATCCAAGGGGGTTGTCAAGGAGCCAGGATGGTCTTGGATTAAGGTAAAGGATAAGGTTACTGCATTTGTTGCTGGTGATCGATCTCTTCTAAAGGGTGAAGATATATACAGCATTTTGGATTTACTAGCTTCAAGGGCAGAAGTCCCTCCTCAGGAGCTGGGTTCTTTTCTAAATGATGCAGAGGAGATTGTGTTAATGACAGTATAAAATAGGCTGAAGCAAATATGGGCATTATGAAAGTCAGTCCTCCTCACTTTTAGAATCAAATATTTGAGGGGCCCGATACTGATATCAAGACTGGTAAAGTTTTGTTCATCTGCTTTTGTTTCCAAGAGCATTGACAATTTGTTAACCATGTATCTATTTTTCATGTGAAATTTCTGCAGAAATGCACCTTGCAAATGCTAGGCAAACCAAGGCTGAAGATGCTACTGATGATGACACCCCTAGTACCTCTGGACAGCAATATGCGGATTCTCATGTTTCTCAGGTTTCGCTGTTTAACTTTACTTTATATCTGGGTATTGGTTTATTTGTTTATGTTTTAATTTGAGGTGTTGATTTTTCTCTTTACATCCTTAATTTAATGACATGTTTAGTGTTTTGGCCAATCTCCCCTCCCTGCTTATGAACCAGCTTTTGACTGGGAAAATGAGAGGTTGATGATATTTGGCCAGACCCCAGAGGCCCCTGTGGTACACCATGGCAGGTTCAGAATCTTACTCCTTACTAAAGTTATGTTGAAATTTATTGATTTGTTTTAGATCAATATCTCACTCTCTATGATATCTTGTCTGTTGGGATGGGTGGCCTTAGTGGATAGAAGATCTCTGTGAAAGTTCTGTCTCTCTCATTTCAAGCTGAATCGTTGGTTAGTGTTCTTTCCCTGTTATTATACACAAGCTGCTGCAGCTTTGTAATGTTAAGATGCTGCATTATTTCATTATTTTTTGCAGTTCTAAGATTTCTGACGTAGTTCCCTTTATTTCTCTTAGAGCCATTCTATGGTAAAATTTGCTTGTACATTAGGGAGAGAAGAGAAAAATTGTCAGAAGATTTCTATTTTAGTGTTCTACCAACTGAAATGCAGGATGTAAGCCCTAAAACTTATTCAGCTTTAAATTCTTTAGTGCCTGGGTTTTTCCTATTGATGACTTAAAAATTCACTTTTTCTCATTTATCTGGACAGACTAAAGTATCTTCAGAACCTTATGGAACTTTTCTATTTAGATGCTCCGTCCACATCTGTATGTCTACTAATCCAATTAGAGAAGTCTGCAACAGAAGAAGGGGGGTGACTCCAGTTTATTCACGTAAAGAACCTGTACGTATGAAGAACTTAATCTTCTTCATCTTCATTCTGACCTCTGATTGAATGAGACAAAATCTCTATTCTGTTGGCTTGTTTGTTATCTGTCAACAAGAATTTTAACTATCGCCCCTCATCTGTCTTTCAATTGGTTTTTAGCATAGCTTTGAAACATACCCGACGGAGACATCTAAAACCGATCAATGGTACCTCTCTGTTTACGATTTCACGTAGAAGATGGTTATAAAACATAATACACTAAGCTTTCGAGCTCCATACTAATTTGGGGACTACAACTCATGTTATAGAAAGTTGAAGCTTGAAGGTTGATCATGCTGAACTCTTTATCCAAATATCTGAATTGGCAATGGCAGACAATAATAAAGTTTTGGCAATGCCTGTATTAATTTCCTCCAAAGGCGAATTGATCGTTTGGCTACTGTAAAGTATGCAATCGGAGTCTCTCGACACATGGCATGGGGTAAGGGTTTTCAACTTTAATGATGTTGAGGGGACTTTGGCTTCATCCTTTTCTTCATTTTTTTTTTTTACATGGAAAGTTCATTAGAGAAGATATTTTTTAAATAGTTGATGAGAGTTGAGTTTTTGATTAATTAAATTTAAATATTAAAATACTTTAAAAGTAAACCATTAGGTTAAAGAGTCAGTTTTAAATCTTTCATTTTAGATGGGATATATCAGGCATTAGCATTAGTAAATAATCTTAATTAATTTAAGGGTTTATCCATCTTTTATTTTTAATCCACAGATAAAAAGTTATTATTAGATTATAATATGACTTTTTTTTTTTAAAGTAAAATTTTATATTAAAAAATAACTTTTAATTTTTCATTTAAAATTAACCAATAAAAATCTATCACATGGTATTTATTAAAATAAAAAATCAACTTCTTTTTTTTTTTTCAGGACGAAAGAGGATATATATAATATAGAATTTTTTTAACTTGCATCTTGAAAATAAAGGTTAATAGTGTTTCTTCGTTATAAATATGTATAAAAAAATAAAAATTATTACTAATTTCAAAGTTATTGTTATTTGAATAGGATTGATCGGAAAAATGACAAAATAAATATTAATATTTATTTGTTCAGACTATATAAATTAAAAAATCTTATTATATAATTAAAAAGCAACTTAAAATTTTTAATTTAAAATTAGCTAATAAAAATGTATCACGTGGTATTTATTAAAATAAAAAATCAACTTCATTTTTTTCAGGATGAAAGAGGATATATATTATATAAAAAAATTTTAACTTATGTCTTGAAAATAAGGGTTAATGGTGTTTCTTCATTATAAATATGTATAAAAAAATAAAAATTGTTATTAATTTCAAAGTTATTGTTATTTGAATAGGTTTGATTGGAAAAATGACAAAATAAATATTAATATTTATTTGTTCAGACTATACAAATTAAAAAATCTTATTGCACCTGACCCTTTGGTCAATTGAGAGTCTATTAGTTTGAAGTGTATTTTCTTTTTCTCGTAAAGTCCGCCCCTTAATAATTTGTCAAAAAAAAATTTAAAAATCTTACTATATAATTAATATTTTTTATCACGTAATACTTTCTATCCTGTGTACTAAGTGCACGTAATAAATAAACTCTTAATTTAATTTAATTTAATTTAGCTTAATTTAATCCGTCTGTCACTTGCAGTTGGGCCACGAGTCACGTTTCTGTTAATTAGAAGTAAGAAAAATAAAGAGAAGTGCCGTCCTAGGAGATGTTGTTCTATAAAGATAAATATATATGATTTCGCTGTTAAGTGCAATTTGTTGATAATGGACCTGACTGGTTGTAATTCGAGAGTCTCTTTTCAGCAACTTCCCCTCAGACCCTCTTCCATTTTTCCTCATCCTCTCTTCCATTCTAATCTAAGATTATCGGTTCGCCCCTTTCTTTTTTCCTCTTCTTATCTTTTCTATCTGTCTTCCTTTTCCTCGTTGTCTATCTCCTGATATTGATTACTTGTTTTTTTTTTTTTAGCAGAATTCGAAGCTCTTCAACTCTGTTCAGCGTCGTCTGCTGGTTAGAAACGCTGCTAGTTTCGATCAAAATGCCTCTGTTAATGGGTTTCCGATCAAACCCAACAAGCTTTTTATACAGGAGGTACCTACTCTTCTTTCCTTTCTCTCCTCTTGTATCTTCGGGATATTTTCATAGGGGATTTTTATCTTTTACGTTAAATTTTATGTTTTGTGCTTAATTTTCTATTTTTTTATACCATAGCATAAAAAAGTTTCAATTTTGACATGGCATATTTGGATTTGGTACTCGAGGGATTTGCACCTTACAGGTCCCATTTTGTACTACAGATTTACAGGAATGTTAAACAGCATGATTTTTTTTTTTTTTCCTTAGAATGTTCATTACTTTTTGACAATTCTGGTGAATAAAAAGGTCATGGACAAAGATAATTAATGGCTATAATGCAATATGAAAGGA